GGATCGAGGGTAAATTTTATCTGTGGCACACAGCATTTTGCATTGGTGGACAGTAGCAGGCTTTTACCCCCCCACTCTGCAATAAGAGACATCTTTAAATTGTTGGTCCTGGCTGTCTTTTATAACTCCCTAAACATTGATGTTCAGTGGAAGCCTTAAGCTGCCCATAGATTATTCTTTTTGTTTCGTTCAGTTGAATGAAACAAAATGAATTAATTTCCCCATCCACAAAAATGAGGTGGGTAGAGGAATCCTCCTCGCTGTACCATTGTATTTTGATCAGAATACACTGATCAGTGGCTGCAGCCGACTGACTGCAGCTGTTGATTTACAAAAAGGTTCCAACATTCTCGTTCGATGGGAATGGCCATAGATGGATCAAAATGTGTCTGGTTTTTGACGCATTTTGATCCATCTATGGCCAGCTTTATAAACACCTCTTTAGATTGGTGGAAGCATTATATGACATCCTAGTTAATGCACTCTTTATGTTGGTTGGTGGTGGAAGCCTTAAATGCCCCCCTTGTTAAAGCACTCTTTATGTTGGTTGGCAAAGGAAGCTTTATATTCCCCCTTGTTAAAGAACTCTTTATGTTGGTTGGCAGTGGAAGCTTTATATGCCCCCCTTCTTAAAGAACTCTTTATGTTGGTTGGCGGTGGAAGCCTTATGTGCCCCCCTTGTTAAAGCACTCTTTATGTTGGTTGGCAGTGGAAGCCTTATGTGCCCCCCTTGTTAAAGCACTCTTTATGTCGGTTGGCAGTGGAAGCCCTATGTGCCCCGCTTGTTAAAGCACACTTTATGTTGGTTGTCAGTGGAAGCCTTATATGCCCCCCTTGTTAAAGAACTCTTTATGTTGGTTGGCAGTGGAAGCCTTATATTCCCCCTTGTTAAAGAACTTTTTATGTTGGTTGGCAGTGGAAGCCTTATATGCCCCCCTTGTTAAAGCACTCTTTATGTTGGTTGGTGGCAGTGGAAGCCTTTTATTCCTCCTAGTTAACGGCCTCTTTACATTGGTGGTCAGTGGAAGCTTTATATGCCCCCCTTGTTAAAGCACTATTTATGTTTGTTGGCAGTGGAAGCTTTATATGCCCCCCTTGTTAAGCTTTATATGCCCCCCCCCCTTGTTAAAGAACTCTTTATGTTTGTTGGCAGTGGAAGCTTTATATGCCCCCCTTGTTAAAGAACTCTTTATGTTGGTTGGCAGTGGAAGCTTTATATGCCCCCTTGTTAAAGCAACTCTTTATGTTGGTTGGCAGTGGAAGCTTATATGCCCCCCCTTGATAAAGCACTCTTTATGTTTGTTGGCAGTGGAAGCCTTATATGCCCCCCTTGTTAAAGCACTCTTTATGTTGGTTGGCAGTGGAAGCCTTATATGCCCCCCTTGTTAAAGCACTCTTTATGCTGGTTGGCAGTGGAAGCCTTTTATTCCTCCTAGTTAACGGCCTCTTTACATTGGTGGTCAGTGGGAGCCTTATATGATCCCAAGTTAAAGCCCTAGTTACAACTGATCCACTACAGCAAGATTTTATACATAATTTGGCAATGATTTTGAACAATATAATTAAAGGACTATTTCGTTTAACCCACAGTTAGTTGGTGATGATGACTATTTTATTGGGGGGGGGGGCAGTTTCACTATTTTCTCATTTAAAATAAGATGTAAAGAAAAAGCATAGTGCACCCTGTATTTTCAGTAAGTGCATACAGTATTTTGCATTACTTTTGCAGTGTTTATATACAGGAAATTTTGATGTTGCATTTACAAGCTTGCTCTTGCTAATTGTCCATAATTATATTAACTATAGAGATTTGTGTGTCAGCCATCAGAGGGCACTCTTAGTGGCTCAGTGAAATTCCTTTGTCTTTCTTACAAACTGTTGAGATAAGACATCAGCCCCGCTGGAAATAATTGTATACTAGTCAACTGAGCCAAAGACTCGCACTGTGAGAATGAGCAGTATTGCACAAGCATTGTGTGCCCAGGGTCATTGCTAGCATTGAGCACCAACATCTCTTGCTTGTGGCTTGGGTCATGACACCATTACCACCCAACTTTTTTTAAAATTTCAGCACTACTGCTCAGACCTCAGACAGCGACTGTAGAGCCAAAAAAAGCGCGTCCTCAGATGTATACTAGGGAGGAAAGTAGGGGAAATGGTCTGTAACGTGGGAGAGATGTCTGTATTTGAGGGGTGGGGGAGGTCTGTACTAACCCATATGGAAGAGAAATATATTTCCAATATATTTAGAAAAAAAAATTATACATGCGACATATATTTACAATATAGTGGCCTACACTAATTCATTTTAACATGTGCGGTATTCCAAAAATATAAATTAAAATATTTTTTCCAAAGGCATATATTTAAAAAATTATTTTTTTAAATATATTTTCCAGATATTTTTGAACATCTAAAAAATGCATTTAAACATATATTTTTAAATATACTTGTAAATGCATTCCAAAATATATTTCAGCATGTGTTCTGAATATTTTTTTAATAATATATTCACAAATATATTGAAATATATTTTTGAAATATATTGAATATGGCCAATATTTTAGTATTTGAAATATATGTCAATATATTTGGGAAGAATATATTAAGAATGTATTTTTAAAATATATTTTTCTTCCATGTGGGAAGGGGTATTTGAGGGGTGCTCTTGATCTGTACTGGGAGTGATCTGGAGGAAGAGAGCCCTATACTGGGAAGAATTGTTGGGTGAGGAGAAATCTGCATTGGGGTTGGGGATATTTGGGAGGAGAGTTTGCTCAGTGCTTTACAATATAACGGGAGACAATACAGTAACAATACAGTTCAATACAAGAGGGATTTGAGGGCCCTGCTCCTTGGAGCTTACAATCTAGGAGGGAGGGGCTAGTGGTAAAAAAGGTAGTAAACTGTGGGGGATGGACTTTTTGGAAGAGTAGAAGATTCCAGTATTAGCTGAGGGCAGGATAGGCTTCCCTGAAGAGATAGGTTTTCAGAGATCGCCTAAAAGTGAGCAGAGTAGGCGATAGTCTGATAAATTGGGGTAGAGAGTTCCAGAGGATGGGAGAAGCTCTGGAGAAGTCCTGGAGATGAGCATGGGAGGAGGAGGCAATTGAGCTAGAGAGTAGGAGGTCTTGCTAGGAGCGGAGAGTACGGTTTGGGTGATAGTTAGAGACAAGATTGGTGATGTAATTTGGGTCAGAGTTATAAATTACTTTATATGTTATTGTTAATATTTTGAATTTTATCCGTTGGGCAATGGGAAGCCAGTGGAGGGATTGGCAGAGAGGGATGGAGGACACTGAGTGGAGGCCAGTGGAGGGATTGGCAGAGAGGGATGGAGGACACTGAGTGGAGGCCAGTGGAGGGATTGGCAGAGAGGGGTGGATGACACTGAGTGGAGGCCAGTGGAGGGATTGGCAGAGAGGGATGGAGGACACTGAGTGGAGGCCAGTGGAGGGATTGGCAGAGAGGGGTGGCAGATATGGAATGGTTAGTAAGGTGGATGAGTCTGGCAGCAGCATTCATGATAGACTGAAGAGGGGATAGCCTGCGATGAGGTCGGCCAGTGAGGAAGGAGTTACAATTCAAGGTGAGAGATAACAAGGGAGTGAATAAGTTGCTTAGTAGTTTCCGAGGTTAGGTATCTTGGAGATGTTGCGGAGGTGAAGTCTACAAGATTTGGAAAGTGATTGGATTTGGGGCTGAAAGGACAGATGGGAGTCCAGGATTACACCTAGTACCCTGGCATGAGGGGAGGGAATGATGATTGTGTTATTGATCTTGATGGAGAAGTCAGGGGAGGGGGCAAGGGCTGGGGGGAATACGAAGAGCTCAGTTTTGGAAAGATTGAGTTTGAGGAAGTGGAGTGACATCCATGCCGATATGTCACTTAGTAGGTTAGTAATGCGAGTGGAGACTGAAGGGGTGAGGTGAGGGGTAGAAAGATAGATTTGTATATGTCTATTACATATTCCTGACCTCTACAAGCTGAGATACGCACCTCTGACCCTTGCACTTCATATAATATACAATAATGATCCCTACACTCTGTGAGTTACTCACTGCTGATCCCAGCGCTCTGTGCATTATGCATTCCTAACTCTCTCTGTAATGTACACACTCCTGACCACCCCACTATGTACATTACACACCCCTGCACTCTGTGAGTTAAGCACTCCTGGTCCCAGTACTAGTATTCTATGCGTTAAACACAACTGATCCTAGTATTCTGTGCATTAAACACTTCCGGCCCTTGCACTCTAAGTATTACGCACTCCTGACACTAGCACTGTATATGTTACGAATTCCGAACTTCTTACTCTGTGCTGTATACAGTGCTCTACGCTGTGCATTACACACCCCTTACCCCTGCACTCTTGTACAACAGCAGAGTAGGTTACGTTTTATGAAACAATACCCCTTTAAGAGCCCCCCCCACACACTGTTACTGAAATTTAGCCACACTTACAATTTGGTTTGGTGCATCATTTCCCTGCCCATAGCACACAAGGCATTTTGCCTTTATACCTTCAATGTCGCTTCTTTTTCCAAAGGTCTGTGACCAATTGTTTCAGAGCATGTTCAGGTGGTGGGGGCATGATTTTTTGGGTATGGGTACATAGAGGGATGTGGTTTTGTGGGTAGGCGTGGTCAGTAGGATTGGTCCTTTGAAAATCTGTTAACCTTATGTTGATCATTCCTAGAAAGCATACAGAATATTCCTACTTAAGACCTCCAAATGGAGGAAACGTATAAATTAATCTCAGGACTGGCAGTGAATTTCCTCCTACCCCTGAACCGATTCTCCTTAAACCCATTCTCACTATCTGCCTCTCCTGTGTTGCTTTTCCTTGATATGATTTTCTTTCTAGACTTTCTTTCTGTGTGTAGCTACAAGAATGACAGACCATTCATGATACAAGTGCCTCCTCAGATGTTGGTCCTACCTGGGGAGAATCGGAGGACCCCAAGTTCTCTCACTATTGCACCCCGGCTGCGTGATGAAAGGGATTGTACAGCATGAGCTCAATCATGTCCTGGGCTTTGTCCATGAGCACACCAGGAGTGACCGGGATACCTACGTGTACATCGAATGGACACATATCCCAGATGGTAAATTTCATCCTACCTTCTAATGATGCCATGTTGACTGCTTTTCCTTGACTTGTTATGTGATGTTGAAGACATTTCACCATTCATCCTAGAGGGGACACAGCAATAAAAACGTCAACATGTATGACTGAGGCACTCGATTTGACTCATTAATAACTTGTGGTTGAGGAAGCTCTCTCATTCCTATGGGGTGCAAAGGGCTCTGATGAGGCATCTCATCAGACAAGCAGGGACTTTCTTAACCAGGGAATCCCTAAATTGGAATCCAGGTATAGAAAGTATAGTGAGAGCACCAGGTCAAGGAGCTAAGAGCCCAAAAATAGTTTTAATACTAATGTAACTTCATACCTGAAGACATAAAAAAGACAACATGTTTCAGGGGCTCGTCCCCTTCTTCAGGGCTTGAATATTGTATTGCGTTAAGAGGACTCAAACATCAGAGCTCTTATTAGATGGCAGAAGTTCTAACCTTCACCTACTACATCCAAATTTTTTTACACTTCAACCATTTGAGCTCTGGAAGATTTTACCCCCGTCATGACCAGGGCATTTTTTGCTATTTAACACTGTGCTAGTTTAATTGACAATTGTGCGGTCATGAAACACTGTACCCAAATGAAATGTATATAATTTTTTCCCACACAAATAGATCTTTCTTTTAGTGGTATGCAATCACCACTAGGTTTTAAATTTTTTATTATATAAATGAAAAAAGACCAAACATTAATTCAGGATATGTGCAGTTGGCCAATCAGAACAGATCACAATGTGTGTGGCTCATTCGGGTCCCTACAAACAAGGTATTTTTGCCAATTGTTTAACCCCTCAAAGCGGAGCTCCAACCAAAAGGTGAAGTTCCACTTTAATGCTTTGTCCCCTGCTCCCCATTAAGGATTGGCACCTTTGGAGAGCGGGGGGGGGGGGGGGTACCCGAATTTGACAGGTACCAACTCCCACTTCCGTTGCTGCGATTGCTGGGCGATCGGAAGCAGAAGTTGTCTTCCTCCACTCCCTCCCTGTAGTCTTCCGGGACACAAGACAGGTCCCAGCAGGGGTGGACTGACCATTTGGAAACTCGGGCACTGCCCGAGGGCCCGGGGTCAGTAGGGGGCCCTATGAGATGCCCCTGGTACCTTTTTCATAGGCTTTTTTGAGTTTGGGCAAGGACACAGGGGCCCCATGATCCCCTAATGCCCAGGGGCCCCATGAGTTTTCAGTCCGCCCCTGGGTCCCAGAAGACTACGGCGCCATTCACAAAGCACAGCACTTCTCACACATGCGCAGTGGGCACCCGGCTGTGAAGTCGTAAGCTGTCACAGATGGGTGGCCACACTGAAGACAGCGGCTCCAGGGAGAGAAGATGGCCAGTGAAACCAGCGGTGGTGAGGACACCGCTGGACCAAGGGACAGGTAAGTGTCTGTATTTTAAAAGTCAGCAGATACAGTTTTTGTAACTGCTGACTGTTATTTTTTTTTCAGGTGGAATTCCACTTTAACCACTTCCAGACCGGACACTTTTACCCCCTTCCTGACCAGGGCAATTTTCAGCTTTCAGCGCTATCACACTTTGAATGACAATTGCGCAGTCATGCAACGCTGTACCCAGTTTAATTTTTTACCATTTTTTTGCAACAGATAAAGCTTTATTTTGGTGGTATTTATTCACTGCTGGGATTTTTATTTTTTTTGCTATGTAAATGAAAAAGTCCAAAAATTTTGAACAAAAGTGTTTTTTTTTATAAAATTTTGCAAATAAATAATATTTGATCATAAATCTTTGCCAAAATGTATTTCGTTATCTTTTTAGTAAAAAAACAAACAAAAAACAAATTAGTTTATAACCAAAAATTATAATTTTTAAACATTTTTTTTTACATTTTTATTTTATTTTTTTTTATTATTATTATTTTTATTTTTTTTTTTTTTTTTACATACTGTCACCCTAGCAGTACAGTGTCACCATGGTGACACTGTACTACTTGTGGGGGGTGATGATGATTTTTTTTTTTTTTTTTTTTTTTTTTTTACAATGATTGCTTTTACACCCATATAGGATGTAAAAGCAATCATTTCTCTTTCTCTCTGTGTGCATTCCTGCACTCATTGAGAAATACAGAGTGAGCTGTGATTGGTCACAGCTTGTCACATGGTACAAGGCTGTTGTGAATAGCCTTGTACCATGTGACCTCTGTGATCATTCACAGATTTCACACGTAGTAAGCAATGATGTCACAAGTGACATCTTGCTTACTACTTTGCATGTGATCACTGATTGGCCAATCAGTGATCACATGATCGGGACCTCGTACAGAGGTCCCGTCCGACGATCGGTGTTTCACTGTGTCCGGAGGACACAGCGGGCACCGGATCGCGGTGCTGCGCGCTCCCAGGGAGCGCGCACAAGCAGGGTGCGGGGAGGCCGTTCATAAATGGCCACCCGACCCTGTACTGCCACCGTCCGGCCGTTTTTATGCAACGGCCGGTCGGGAAGTGGTTAAGCTCTGGAAAGTTTTACTTTCTTCATTTTTTGCTATTCCTGCACTGCGCTACTTTAACTGGCAATTGCACAGTCATGCAACACTGTACCCAAATGAAACTGATATCATTTTTTTTTCACACAAATAGAGCTTTCTTTTGATGGTATTTGATTACCCACTTTTTAAATTTTTTATTATATAAATGAAAAAAAAACAGAACATTTTGAATAACAAAATATATATTTTTTTTCTGCTATAGAACAGCCAATAAAAAAATTAAAACATCAAATTTCTTCATAAATTTAGGCCAAAATGTATTCTCTTACATGTCTTTGGTAAAACAAATCCCACGGAGTTCATATTAATTGGTTTGTGAAAGTTATAGCGTCTACAAACTATGGTATATATACTGGAATTTGTTTTTATAGTTGTAATGGCGGTGATCAGTGACAGTGAAGAAGGTTTACAAAGCCTTATACAATAGTAAATAGGGATTAGTGTCCAGTTAGTCAACGCGTTTCAGGGACCACTTCCTCAGGACTTAAAACTGTGGCAGATCATTGTAATCCATGAATATATCTGGGAACCCCAAAACCTATTTTAAAATGCAATTATACACCAGAAATTAGGTGTTTTGAGGGTGTCTGCCTTTGATTTTCCTCACCTCCTTGCCTAGTTTTACATCAAAACAGCTTAAAAGTGATAGTAAAGTTATTTTTTTTTTAAATAACAAACATGGTATACTTACCTATTCTGTGTAATGAGGTGAGGAGTAAGTGAGATCCCCCACCTACTCTCTAGGCTCCACCTCTTATAGTGTGCCACCATAAGAAGCTGCTTCATATAGTGGGACAAGTTCTGGCTCAATCTCGAGCAGCGTTGTGTGTGTCCATTTACACACACAATGCATCTCGGCCCTGCCCCCTTTCCTTATCACTAGATTTGATTGACAGCAGCAGGAGTCAATGGCTTCCACTGAATCCAGTGAGGTGGGAGAGAGAGTGAGCAGCACTGCTGCTCTCAGGCAAAGGGCTGGGTTGAGATCAGGCTAAGGTAAGTCTTTAGGGGGCTGGGGGAGAGCTGACAATAGAAAGTTTTTCACCTTAATGCAGAGAATGCATTAAGGTAAAAAAAAATATACCTTCAGCCTTTACAGCCACTTCAAAGCCTAAGCCCTCTGAAAAGAAAATTTATTATTGGCAGAGCAGGGAAGTACATCACTCACCAGTGTCTTATATACTACACTGCTCCAAAAAATTAAAGGAACACTTTGAAAACACATCAGATCCCAATACGGAAAAATCTCCTGCTGGATCTCTATACTGATATGAACTGGGTAATGTGTTAGGAACGTAAGGATGTCCCATCGTTTGATGGAAATGAAAATTAACAACCTGCAGAGGACTGAATTCAAAGACACCCCGAAAATCAAAGTGTGAAAAATGATGCAACAGGCTAGTCCATTGTGCTGAAATGTCATTGCAGCAACTCAAAATGGTCCTCAGTAGTTTGTATGGCCCCCACGTGCTTGTGTACATGCCTGATAACGTCGGGGGGATGCTCCTAATGAGATGACGGATGGTGTCCTGGGATATTTCCTCCCAGATCTGGATCAGGGAATCACTGAGCTCCTGGACAGTCTGAGGTGCAACCTGGTGGCATCAGATGGATCAAAACATGATATCCCAGAGGTGTTCTATTAGATTTAGGTCAGGCATGCATGGGGGCCATTGAATGGTATCAATTCCTTCATTCTCCAGGAACTGCCTGCATACTCTCGCCACATGAGGCTGGGCATTGAAGTGCACCAAGAGGAACCCAGGATCAACTTCACCAACGTACGGTCTGACAATGGGTCCAAGGATTTCATCCCGATACCTAATGGCAGTCAGGGTGCCATTGTCTAGGCTGTAGAGGTCTGTGTGTCCCTCCATGGATATGCCTCCCCCAGACCATCACTGACCCACCACCAAAACGGTCATGCTGAACGATGTTACAGGCAGCATAACGTTCTCCACGGCTTCTCCAGACCCTTTCATGTCTGTCACATGTGCACAGGGTGAACCTGCTCTCATCTGTGAAAAGCACAGGGCGCCAGTGGCAGACCTGCCAATTCTGGTGTTCAATGGCAAATGCCAATCAAGCTCTATGGTGTGGGGCAGTGAGCACAGGGCCCACTAGAGGATGTCAGGCCCACAGGCCACCCTCATGAAGTCTGTTTCTGATTGTTTGGTCAGAGACATTCACACCAGTGGCCTGCTGGAGGTCATTTTGTAGGGCTCTGGCAGTGATCATCCTGTTCCCCCTTGTACAAAGGAGCAGATACCGGTCCTGCTGATGGGTTAAGGACCTTCTATGGCCCTGTCCAGCTCTCCTAGAGTAACTGCCTGTCTCCTGGAATCTCCTCCAAACTCTTGAGACTGTGCTTGGAGACACAGCAAACCTTCTGGCAATGGCACGTATTGATGTGCCACACTGGAGGAGTTGGAGCTTTGTAGGGTCCTCATGCTACCAGTAGTGACACTGACCCTAGCCAAATGCAAAACTAGTGAAAAACAGTCAGAAAAAATGAGTAGGGAAAAAAATGTGAGTGGCCTTCACCTGTAAAACCATTCCTGTTTTGGGGGTCGTCTCATTGTTGCCCATCTAGTACATCTGTTGTTAATTTCATTAACACCAAAGCAGCTGAAACTGATTAACAACCCCCTCTGCTACTTAACTGACCAGATCAATATCTCAGGAGTTTAATTGACTGGATGCTATACTCTGATTAAAAAGTGTTCCTTTAATTTTTTTGAGCAGTGTATATATACACAGTATATTTTGGATACTTCAGTATAATTTCTTCCTCTTCCCTCATTAATTTACATTCTAAGGAAAGCGCTAGAGTAAGTCAGCTTCACAGACAAGTGGTGGTGGGTGTAGCTAGCAGCTTTGGTGGACGGATTTTGCATAGAAGGTCCCTGAGAGGTATAGGAAGATGCTGAGTGATTCAACTTGTCCTCATCTACTCAATGGAGAAAGTTTAGGTTAGTCAGGAATTTGAACTGATATTATTTAAATCACAGCATACAGTATTATATATGAATAGTACTGCATTTAGCCCTTGGTAATGGAAAAGTAGTAATGATATTAAACATATTTTCTGTACATTACACCATACAGTATACAAAAGCAACTTTGAGACGACCCAACCAGCTACCAATAACCTGGGCCTGCCGTATGATTACACTTCTGTGATGCACTATGGGAGGTAAGTCACAGTCGCCAATACACCTTCTGTAGGACCCTTCATCATGCAGCTCTCAAGTAATGTTGGGACAGGGGTTTGGTCTTTTTGTGATGTATTTCTGGGTGATGAATTAATACTGGTGCATGAGCATTGTCAAAATGGAGCATGCGCAATACACAACTGCAGGAAGGATGAGTGAATACATGAGGTTGTCAGAGCAGTCCATGCACAATAGACAGTCTGCAGGAGCAATGAACGAATATGAATGCAAGAGCATTGTCACAGCAGACCATGTGCAATAGACAATCTGCAAGAGTGATGAGTGAATACAAGTGTATGAGCACTGTCAGAGTGGAGTGTTCTGTCTCTCCAATCTAAGCATTGAAAGTGTGATCTCTGTAACTTACAGTTGTGATGAGATAGCGATAACTCCAATCTTAGTTGAATAACACAGGCAGTGACTGGATCCAGATGACACCTTGTAGATCTTGTGAAGTTTATTCCATAAACTGAGAGAATCTTACAACAATGAACATCAGATATGTCAAAAGATCATAATGTGATCTACTTCATGAGACATGAGGCTTGAAGTTGAGGTGCATTACTGGGAAAATGAATAAAAGGGTGGGGCTATCTCTACAGCATGAACTAAACCAAAGGAAGGGGAGCAGAGACAAAATACAAAGAACACTTAAAGGCATATGACAGTCATGTGAAACATGACATGGAGCATACAGAGTAGACAGTCTACATTAGTGATGGGTGAATATCAGTGCATGAGCAATGTCAGAGTAGAGCATGCTCAATACACAATCTGCAAGCACGATGTGTGAATACCAGTGCATGAGTGCTCTCTGAGCAGAGCATGCACAACAGACAATCTGCAAGAGTGATGAGTTATTATTGGTGCATGAGCAATGTCAGAGTGATACAATGAGTGAATACTGGTACATGAGAATTGTTAGAGTGGAGCATGCTCAACAGACAATCTGCAAGGGCAATGAGTAAATTCTGTGCACGTGCATTGCCAGAGAAGAGCATGCTCAATAGACCATCTGCAAGGGCAATGAGTAAATTCTGTGCATGCGCATTGTCAGAGAAGGGCATGCTCAACAAACAATCTGCAAGGGCAATGAGAAAATTCTGTGAATGCGCATTGCCAGAGAAGGGCATGTTCAACAGGCAATCTGCAAGGGCAATGAGTAAATTCTGTGCAAGTGCATTGCAAGAGAAGGGCATGCTCAACAGGCAATCTGCAAGGGCAATGAGTAAATTCTGTGCACGTGCATTGCCAGAGAAGGGCATGTTCAACAGGCAATCTGCAAGGGCAATGAGTAAATTCTGTGCAAGTGCATTGCCAGAGAAGGGCATGCTCAACAGGCAATCTGCAAGGGCAATGAGTAAATTCTGTGCACGTGCATTGCCAGAGAAGGGCATGCTCAACAGATCATCTGCAAAGGCAATGAGTAAATTCTGTGCATGCGCATTGCCAGAGAAGAGCATGCTCAACAGGCAATCTGCAAGGGAAATTAGTAAATTCTGTGCAGGCGCATTGCCAGAGAAGGGCATGCTCAACAGGCAATCTGCAAGGGCAATCAGTAAATTCTGTGCACGCGCATTGCCAGAGAAGGGCATGTGCAACAGGCAATCTGCAAGGGCAATCAGTAAATTATGTGCACGTGCATTGCCAGAGAAGGGCATGCTCAACAGGCAATCTGCAGGAGTAATGCGTGAATATAGGTCCATGCATGTTGTCTGAGCGGAGCATGCACAAAAGATGGTTTGCAAGTATGATGAGTGAATATTGGTGCATGAGGATTGTTAGAATGGAACATGCACAATAAATATTCAAGAGCAATGAGTGAATACCAGTGCATATTCACTCCAGTGCTGCTCACATAACCAAAAGCTTAGGCATTCCATTCCATGATCCCTGCTGAGGTGGAGAGTCAGAGTTCCCACTGGCTGCTAACCCTCAAGGGGTGTACAATCTAAGGTCCCTAACTCACATTTATAAATACACATACTAGGGCCAAATTTAGACAGGATCCAGTTAACCTACCAGCATTTCTTTGGAATGTTGTGGGAAACTGAAGTACCTGGAGAAAACCCATAAAGGCACAGGGAGAACATGCAAACTCCAGGCAGGTGGTGCTGTGGTTGGGATTTGAACCAACAGTCCTGGTACTGCTAGGTGGATGTGCTAACCATTTAGCCACTGCTAATGAGCCAATCACATGGCAGAAACTCAATACATTTAGGCATGTATATGTATAGTAAGTAAGTGCAGCGCTAAAATGATAAAGTCTATCCCACATAAGAAATAACGGTAAATTATTATAAATAAGTTGTTTAATAAAAGTGACAGTCTGTGTTGATAAAGGTGCAGAATGACAATAAAATCCAGTAGCGGTGCTCCAAATGGTGTGGTAAAAATTACGCACTCACCAGATGCGTAATTAAAGTACGCAGTGTGTAAACCAATGTGGGTCTCTTTAACAGGTATAGGTCTGGTCTGGGGCGCGGATAATCCTCCTTCAGGGTGATGTTGTTACAAGTCCAGCGGAGAGTAAATAGATCCAGATAGCCAGAGGTCCCTTAAAGGGATGGATGGGTAAAGATGCCTGCTTACAGGAACTCCCTTCTCTGGATTCGATGGATGGATGACTGGCTCTATAAACAAATTGTTCCTCAAAGGAGACCATGAATAGTGCCCATAGTGCAGTAGTTTTAAAAGATTTATTTAATAATGAAAAACGAATTTGCAAATTAAATAAAAAACAGTAGGGTATGCAATATAGCAGCGTCAGGTCAGAAAGGAACTAACCCTCCAGAAACTAAGATGGCTGTGGGGCCTCCACGTGGCACCGGCGGTGTGACGTCACGACGTCCTGGCTCCTCCTAAGGCGTTTCGTGCACACACACTTCTTCAGAGGCGGATACCATTCTTAGGCATCTAGATGTGATGACAACTTGCTGAAGTTCAAACCGAGATTCAGAATGGGGAAGAAAGGGGAATTAAGTGACTGTGAACATGGCATGGTTGTTGGTGTCAGAGGGCTGGTCTGAGTATTTTAACAACTGCTGATCTACTGGGATTTTAACGCACAACCATCTCTAGGGTTTACAAAGAATGGCCCCAAAAATAGGAAATATACAGTGAATGGCAGTTGTGTGGACGAAAGTGCCTTGTTGATGTCAGAGGTCAGAGGAGAATGGGCAGACAAAATGTTCAAAATGATAGAAAGGCAACAGTAACTCATGTCAATATGGACCAAAATCTCTGAGGAATGTTTCCATCGCCTTGTTGAATCTATGCCATGAAGAATTATAGCAGTACTGAAGGCAAAAAGGGGTCCAACCCAGTACTAGCAAGGTGTACCTGATAAAGTGGCCGGTGAGTGTATATCTGTATATTGGTATATGTGGGTGGGTACTGAAATGGAGAATGGAAGGGGCTAGCAGAGCTGGCAGGTTAGTGGTGTAGAATTTTAGTGCTGCCTTAACTGGAATTCAGTTGTGTGACTAAATCCTTTTATGTCTCTGGGATGCAAATTGAAGGGTGGTCTACCCAACGGGGACAAGGGCAACAGACAAAAGTTTTAACCCTTCTTCACTCTGTCCAACCCTACAGTAGAAGGTTTGGCTGGAGGTCTACAGTAAAGGTTGGCTTTACTATACCAAAGAATGGTTTAATTTGGCTGGAATTTGCAATGCCTAAATTCAATGCAAGTGTTTTAAAAGTATCGCCTTATCTGACTGTGTTTTTTTTTCTGTAGATATGCCTTCAGCAATGCTCCTGGGAAGGCAACTATTGTCCCAAAGCTTGATCCCAGTATCCTCATAGGGCAGAGGTATGGACTGAGTGGCTTGGACCTGCAGAAGATCAATCGTCTTTATCAGTGTGGTGAGAGCCAGCAATAAAAAATACCATCACCCAGACTACAGTTTTCATTATCTGATCATCATGCGGCCCTGCACACTTTTTATTTCTAAAAATGGTGATAGATGGATTGAATGTTGGCCGGTTCAGCAGGGACCATCCATTGTCTTGAGTACAACCAGCCTGTTGGATTTTAGCATGCAGTTACTGTCTACAGCTATAGCCGCTAGCAGTAATCATTGTGTTCTGCCAACTGGGAAGGCTCCCCGCGCCCCCCTGCTGCAGAACACAATAGCTCTGTGGAAGACATTCCCCCATCAACACTGACTGTGTTGATGGAGGAGTCGAGCAACTTTTTTTTCCTTCCACCCATAGTAGAAGGAAAGAAAGTTGAGTCATCTATGGCATTAATAGGACTCACATTTAGAATCACTGTTGTGAATAATGCAAATATGTACTATGTACTTTGTCCATTCAGGGCAAAGCAACAGGGTTGCCTCAATCCCTATTTATCATCAGCATATACATGTAATAGGGAGATTAGTTCCCTTTTGTGATTTTCCTCAGTTTGTTTCCAATTAGTCTAGGTGCTGTCCTTGCCCCCCTGTTATACTGTATAGGTCAGCTGTGGAGGATATTCAGGGCCTGGACAAAGAGAGGGCAGAAGGGACATGTGCCCCAGGAGCAGGTGTTCATATGTGGAGGAGTGGGACATGCTAGGATCTTCAGACATTCGGTTTTCCTGTACCTCACTGGCGGGAAGACTGCAGCATCACCCCTGTCAGAAGGAGCAAATAGCTGATGGAGGGAGCACTCCACTCTTTCCTTTCCTTCCTCCAATAACAGCCCGGCCTGGGTAGAAAAAAGCCAGCGCCCACTGAGCACATACTTCCATCTCCGTGTGGCACCACTGGTGCGAGAAGTGAGACAGTCCTTTCTGTATCCCCTTGTCATGGGACAAATCACATGACCTGAGATAAGAAGGAGAATCTGCCTTCAATCCAAGTGGGCTCTGCGCTGAGAAGGAGCTCTGAACAGTGAGTACACAGAGGGTGAGGGGATGACTCAGCCCAAGACTTTCCCTCTAGTTTTCAGAACCTTTAAAGAGTCCTTAAGCCTCTTCCCTTCATTAGGTCTCATTCACATGGGCAAGTTGAGGGGCGGCAAAACAAAATCCACAGCAGATGGCTTTTCAGAGGGGCAGCAATGACAGCCACATATCTGAACTAGCCCTTAGAGCCCTTTCTGCCCTCACTTCCTCCCCCAGAGACCCCTTAGACCCCTTTAGTTTGATGCACTCCACAGAACCCACCTTCCAGCTTTGACCCCCAACTTCATCTCACTGACATAGATGCCCATCAGTCCTCCTCAGAATGACACTGTTGACGCAGGGGCATCATACCATAGGAATGTGGCACAGCAATTTTAATGCTGCATGCAGAGTTTGACAGGTGGCACCACCAGTCAAACTCTCCCATATACTGTATGTTAATGGGGCCACACCGCACCCATGAGCCAAACACTTGGCTTGCACTAGTGGCATGCTGCCAAAGAAAAAGAAGTAAAAAAAACAGGGATAATGAGGGGAAGTATCACCTTCTGAGTGCCTGCTAACCCCCTTTCACTATCCTCTAAAAAGGGATCCACCTTGGATCGCTTTTTGGGGGGCACTAAAATACCACTAGGATTAAATGAGCCTAAGTCTACTGGGGAACCCATGGACTATGCCAGGTTGTTCTGAGGGAAGCTAGTGCTATCTGTGGGAACCAGTTGCTGAATCCATGGTTGTTATGCCTGTGAAAGTGAGTTAAGTAGAGAAGAGGCTGAGCTACTAGGCCTCAGGCCAGCCACAAACAGGCAGACCCCGTAAGCTTTCAAGATAGCAGCGTAGATCCCAGCCATGAGAGCCAGCTTTAACCTTGTTTTACGAGCTCTGTAGTAGGTCCCCGGCACAGAAACTGGCTAAACAACCTGTGTCTAGGTGGCACTACATACTTACATTTCCTTCACTTACCCAATGCTCCACTAAGTGCCAAGAGCCAAAGGAAATACCTGGGACTTCCCGGCATGGCAGAACATGTGACCCACTCCATGTTACAGCACTAGACCAGTCAGCATTGTCACATGGGGAATACATAGTCATGTGTAAGCTATGGCTCCCCAGGACTTTCCTTGTACTCTTGGTGATTGAACGAAGTGAAGAGGAAGAAGGTGCTGTTGCACATTGACCCTGTGGTTGGCTCTAGATGGATGAAGCACATGTTCATCTTAAAATGTACCTGTACTTATGAGGAGCGTAATAAACTAACCTCATCAGAGCTTTTATATTGTCCTCAAGTTGCCCCTACTGCACCCCAGGCACTGCAACCAATTCCTACTCAAGTTTCAATAACTTGTGCAGTGCAGGATCTCAACTAGTCATTGGTCAATAAGACACCATTGTTGGTTGCAGTGTCTACTGAAAGATTTACTTAGGAAAGAACTGTGTAAGTTCTGGGTCACAACCAGGGGCGGACTGACTATTTGGAAACTCAGGCACTGCCCAAGGGCCTGGGGTCAGTAGGGGGCCCCATGAGATGCCCCTGGTACCTTTTTCATAGACTTTTTTGAGTTTGGGCAAGGACACAGGGGCCCCATGATCCCCTATTGCCCGAAGGCCCCATGAGTTGTCAGTCCGCCCCTGGTCACAACAAAGTACAAGTTTGCTTCAAGTCAAGCAAAAATATGTAAAGCCAACATTTCATATTCCTGATTTGTGCCTGCTGTATGAAAAAGTATCCTGTTCTCTTTGTATTGCTTCCTTTGTGTGGAATCCCTACCAGTCCCTCTGCTTTCCTATTAAAAAATGACCACACTAGGCATGAGAGTACAGCACAATCTGTTTTCTGTGTTGGGAGCTAAACCAATGGTCAGGCTTGTGCTGACATGCTACCCCCGCACAGCCATTCACTGGGAAGACCAGTGTGCTGCTGTTTCCCCCCAGCTCTCTGAGCTCCTTATGCAGCTGAGAACAGAGGGTATGTGATCACTTACTGTATAAAAAAGGGGATAAAGGTGTTTATAATGTTTTTTTTTATATCTATACTCAAATGTTTTGCCTTTCATTTCTAAAAATTTTAGACCGTTCAAATTCGGGGTCTTTCCATTCCAGTCAGACCACTGCTGCATTCAGCAAAAAGGTGTGCGGTCCCACCAAGATTCGGCTCTAATATTCAGTACCACTCATCATGATGATCTACACATCCACCCTGAGAACATCCGGACAACAACCAGTGACTCCCCTGGTATTGGGACGGTTCAAATTCAGGGTCTTTCCATTCCACAGTTCATTGGAGTTTTCTCAGTTGATTTTCCTGTTAGTCGATTTTGGAGATAGCATGCGGTCGTAATTGCCTCCCCCAGTGTGTGGTTGGCATATCTCCATCAAACATCGTGGTTCTTCCACTCTCACATAGAGAACAGCTCATTCTTTTTGCAACTCCATTTTGTTCTGAGTTGCATGGTACAGTAGTTTGAAATATTTTGCCATGCTTTCTGAGAATTGCCTACGTGTTATCACCTGTATATTCAGTTCCATTGTCTGTGTTCAAAACACTCAGCATTTTGACAAATTTGTTGCTTACTTGAGCCAAATACTGTTCACGCTTCTCTGGTACTTCACTTTTGTTGTGTAACAGATATAATGTAGTATATCTGGAGTAATCATCTATAAAATGAGATAATACCTCAGAATGAATTTAGTCCAGAGGTTTTTTTTTTTTAGCTCTGCTGTTACTCTGCTTTGGAAAGGCCTTTCTTGTCATTTTTTCTTTTATTCCACATACATAGTCATTCTTAGTTCATTTCTTCATTTTTTTTCAGGCCTTCTGTGCCCAAGTCATCTATACCATGTGTGAATGCAGTTTGAATGTTTTTCTTCCTTGGCATTATTAACCACTCATTGCAGTTCAGCTGATACAGTTCACCTGTAATTTTAGCCTTTGCAAGTAAAATATCCACTTTTGTGATGGCACGCCTGTCATCTTGGAAGGTCACTACATTGCCTTTTTTTGTGAGCTTCTCCACTGACAAAAGATTAATTTCAAGAATAGGGACATACAGGACATTATTCACAGGTATCTATCTGGTGACACTTTGGGAAATAGGACAGTAAAGAAAATCATCTCTTATTCCTTCTGATTCCATTATTTGCCTATTAGCTATGATGATTTTTTTCTGTTTTTTTATCTGGTTAAGATGGATAAAGAAATTTCTGTCATTTGTTATGTGACTTGTAGCTCATGAATTAACACACCATGCCAGCAAAGATGAGGTGCAACTTTTGGATTGAAAAACATACGCATTATCTAAAGACAAATCAATTTTTTCCTTCACCCCTTTGGCCTTTTGTAGTTCATGTTTTTGTATTCTAGCTTTCCAGATTTTGCATTCTGCTTTTAAATGGCCTTGTTTCTTGCACACAAAATATGCACATATTTCTTGTTGCATGTTACTGTTTTTATTCCTATTTTTCATCTGTAAAGCAGACTGAAGCATGCTACTGTTGTATTTTTTGTTTTATGCTTATATTCATCTACAAGCTTGCCCTTAACACATTCCTATGTCAGTTCATCATCTGGACATGCATAAAGTGCTGTGACGAGTGTTTCATAACTTTCTGGTAAACCACTAAGTAATAGTGCTGCGGCAAGAAAATCTTTTATTTCTTCTATACCTCTCAGATGTTCAACCATTTCCAAGGTGTGGCTTATGTAATCCTGCATATCCTGGCCTTTCATCAGCTTAGTTTGGTATAGCTTTCTAATAAATTACAGTTTATTGCTCAGATTTAAATAAACAGTGCACTGTAACTTTAAATAAAATAAGAATAAGTGAATCAATAATATGTGCCCATATGAATATTAAATGGATCAATGTGAGCATGACATTGATAAATAATTAAATCAATACATAAGAACATGAACATTCATATGCAAAATATAAATAAAAAAGGCCGAAAATAAATTGTGGAAAAGGTGCTCTGTGCTGCAAAACGTCATGTAAAGTGCTTCCAAGCTCAAAAGGCGCTCCTTAAGAAACAAGTAAGCCTCTTACCAAAATGAGATCATTTCAAGCTATAGAGAGCAAGCAAGCATGTGCTTCACAACTTCAAACTGGCACTGTCACTGTCAGACCACTGCTGCATTCAGCAAAAAGGTGTGTCCCACCAAGATTCGGCTCTAATATCCAGTACCACTCATCATGATGATCTACACATCCACCCTGAGAACATCCGAGCAACAACTGGTGACTCCCCTGGTATTGGGACCCCAGTGCTGATACTCACTAGTCTGTCAGTTGTGATTGTTAGAAATCACATTTTGATTGATATTTATTTAGTATTCAGATAAATGAATCGGCTGCAGTAGTTCACGTTTTGTGTAGTTTGGTTGGGCTAAGCGCAGAGAATTTTTTGCTGAGGTTAGCTTTTTCATGTACCTTTTGTAATCCTTCCCACATTTCTTTAGCAGTTTCACACTTACATTTACACTACATTGCCAAAAGTCTTGGGACGCCTGTCTTTACACGCACATGACCTTTAATGGCATCCCAGCCTTAGTCTGTAGGGTTCAATATAGAGTTGTCCCACCCCTTGCAGCTATAACAGCTTCAACTCTTCTGGGAAGGCCGTCCACAAGGTTTAGGAGGGTGTCTATGGGAAGGTTTGACCATTCTTCCAGAAGCACATTTGTGAGGTCAGGCACTGATGTCGGACAAGAAGGCCTGGCTCGCAGTCTCCACACTAATTCATCCCAAAGGTGTTGTATCGGGTTGAGGTCAGGACTCTGCAGGCCAGTCAAGTTCCTCCACCCCAAACTCGCTCATCCATGTCTTTATGGAATAAGGTTTGTGCACTGGTGCACAGTCACGTTGGAACAGGAAGGGGCCATCCCCAAACTGTTCCCACAAAATTGGGAGCATGATAGTGTCCAAAATGTCTTAGTATGCCGATGCCTTAAGAGTTCCCTTCACTGGAACTAAGGGGCCAAGCCCAACTCCTGAAAAACAAGCCCACACCATAATCCCTCTCAACCAAACCTTACACTTGGCACAATGCAGTCAGGCACGTACCATTCTCCTGGCAACCGCCAAGATTTAGACATGTTCATCGGGTTGCCAGACAGAGAAGCATGATTCGTCACTCCAGAGAACATGTCTTCACTGCTCGAGTCCAGTGGCTGCGTGCTTTACGCCACGGCATCTGACACTTTGCCTTGAACTTGGTGATGTAAGGCTTGGATGCAGCTGCTCGGCCATGGAAACCCATTCCATGAAGCTCTCTACGCACTGTTGTTGTGCTAATCTGAAGGCCACATGAAGTTTGGAGGTCTTTAGCTATTGACTCTGCAGACAGTTGGCGACTTCTGCGCACTGTGTGCTTCAGCATGCGCAGACTCCGCTCTGTCATTTTACGTGGCCTACCATTTCGTGGGTGTTGGCTGTTGTTCTCAGTTGCTTCCACTTTGCTATAATACCACTAACAGTTGACCGTGGAATATTTAGTAGCAAGGAAATTTCATGGAATGGACTTAATGCACAGGTGGGAACCTATCATGGTACCACGCTTGAATTCACTGAGCTCCTGAGAGCAACCCATTCTGTTTGTAGAAGCAGTCTACATGCCTAGGTGCTTGATTTTATACCCCTGTGGCTATGCAGGTGGTTGGAACACCTGAATCCAATGATTTGGAAGGGTGTTCCAATACTTTTGGTAATATAGTGTATGTATGATTTGATCATTTTCTGTGCTAGGAGAGATTATGCTTTGAGCTTTCTGGTCTCTCTATCCACTCACCTGAAGTGTGTTCTGGCCTGACTTCATGTATACATTTCTAAAGTTTACAGTTTCCTTGGGCATCCCATATACCCCTAGACCACATCCAAGTTGTTAACCCCCGTAAAAAAAACAACAAAACCAAGCTCAAGGAATGTTTACTGTCTCTAGTGTGCAAAATGTGGAAGAAAATATTTGTTGCCAGGCTTTGCAGAGCTTTAGGGGGTCCCAAAACTCAGTGACTCCTAAGGGGGTAGTGCTACAGGAGGAAGATCTAAATGAATGAGTTTTTTTTTTGGATGGACGCCTGCCAGTTTTTATGTCTGGTTCTCTTGTAGTCTGATTTCAGCTTCCAACACAAACTGTTCTACTGTTCTATCTGTAATTTCAGCTGGTTTTCAAAGAAAGATGATGATAACTTTAGTATAAAGGAAGATTATGGATGAGGTCAAGTATTCTCTAATAAATAACGTTTTTGATTTCTCCATCTGATTTGCAGATGTCTGCAGTTCTCTTCTCTGTGATCCATCAGGATCTTTGCATTCAGGATATGTGCAGTCGGACAATCAGAACAGATCACAATGTGTGTGGCTCATTCGGGTCCCTACAAACAAGGTATTTAGGATAATTGTTATAAACTGCTGTTGTATACTAGGTGGAAATTTATATTGTTTTGTACATTCCTAGACACTCCAAAATCAAAGGGGGTCCAAATATGTTATTATATGACAAAAGAGACACGTACAACTCTGAGTGTTCAATTCCTCCAATTTTCATCTAAAACTGGGAAGCTATGGCAAACTTTTACCATTTTAGCTACATGATTTCGATCAATGGTGAAGGCAAAGGGTCTTTTATAGGGTGCAATGGCCTGTAATGGCTCCTGAAGGTTAAAAAAGCTATTTTCAACTATCTGGACCTGACATAGTGAAAAACTTGTTAGTCTCATTATTTTTTGTTTCACACACAAAAAAAAAGGTAAATAAAAGTGACAGTACATATGTATGTTTACCAGCCACTTCCTGAATGAACACAGTGAGTGATCGGTACCGATCACTCATGTGTTCATTAATCACTGAAGCATAGTAAACTGTTTACTATGCTTCAGCTTGTGAATTAATAGGCTTCTCTGTATATACAGTAGTGCTTCATATACATCTGCAGCATGTGATAACAGAGAAAGGGACTGAGAACTCTATGTCCCCAGTCGCTTTCTCTGTCTCAAAAAAGAGACATCAGTGGTCTGTTAAGACCCCAAACACGGCTGAAAAAATGCATGGAGCATACTGCAGCATATACCCGAGTGGGGTTATATGTACCCACCCAGGGATGCACAGGTGTTCCATGCATCCCTGTTCAGTCAATCCCATTGATTTGAATTAGGATGCATCAGCTGCACTGATACAGCCCCTGCTCCCTATTTGACATCCATGTGGGCACAGGTGCGGGTCTCCAAACTCATACTGTCGGCTTTCGGGGCCATGAAGCTGCATGGATGTCAGATTGGGAGCAGCAGCTGCATCCCAATCAACATCAATGAAACTGTCTGCATGGGGATGCACAGAACACCTGTGCATCCCCATGTGGATAAATACAGCCCTCCATGTACGCTTTAGAACAGGTAGATACTGTCAAAGCATCTTCCCTGTGCCACTTTGTATGTGAAGGAAATAATTTCTGTACCATAGACTGCTGCCCCCCTGTACTTTGCCCTCCTGACCCCACAGTGCTGTGCCCTTGTGCCCCCCCTGTACTTTGCCCTCCTGACCCCACAGTACTGTACCTTGGTGACCCCCTGTACCTTGCCCTTCTGACCCCACAGTACTGTGCCCTGGTGCCCCCCTGTACTTTGCCCTCCTGACCCCACAGTACAGTACCTTGGTGCCCCCCTGTACCCTGCCCTTCTGACCCCACACTACTGTGCCCTGGTGCCCCCCTGTACTTTGCCCTCCTGACCCCACAGTACTGTACCTTGGTGCCCCCCTGTACCTTGCTCTTCTGACCCCACAGTACTGTGCCCTGGTACCACACCCTATATTTTGCCCTCCTGAACCTACTGAACAAGACCTTCAAAGATGTCACTGGAAACTTTTTTGAAATGTTGGTAACTACAGTGCTCAGCATAAATAAGTACACCGCAACAGATTTCTCAGAAAACCTTTCCTTTCAGAATAAACATTTTCTATGGGACACTTTACTACAAAATACTCCCAGAAATGCGGGCCATTGATTGCAAACAAGATTTATTAATTTGCACACACAAAAAAGTATTTTTCATAACAAATTAATTCAAGACCATGTTGCAAAAATGAATACACCCCAATGAAAGTCTTAGGAGCAAAGCTAAATTTTAGACAACAAAATCCTAATTAACAAGAATTCAACTACAGGTGAGTCTAATTATTCATTAAACAGGTGTCCAGCAGACAGCTGATTATAAAAGGGCGTTACTTAACAATGAAAACCCCTCCCATTTCATGCTGTCAGCAATGGCACCACATGGAAGAGAAATGTCACAAGGCCTGAGAAAGAAGATAATTTCTTTACTCAAGAAAGTTGAAGGCTACAAGAAGATCAGAAAAGCTTTACTTATCAGTCAGAATACTGTAGCAAAACTGATCCAAAAATTTAACAAAGATGGAACTGCGACCATCTCACAGACGTCCAGGACGTCCACGGAAGTTAAATCAGAGTTCCAGTTGAGTAAAAAAAAAAATAAAGGTCAGCAGCTACAAAAACTGTAGTTGCTGACTTTTAAAATACAGACATTTACCTGTTCCTTTGGTCCAGTGGTGTCCTCACCACGGCTGGTTTCACCAGCCGTTTTCTCTCCCTGGCGTTGGCATCTTCAGAGATGGCACCCGAATGTGACATCTTGCAGCTTCACAGCAGGGTTCCCATTGCGCATGTGTGAGTGGCGCTACGCTTTGTGAATGGCCCTGTAGTCTTCTGGGACCTGTCACATGTCCCAGAAGACTATAGGGAGGGAGGGGGGAGAACAACTTCCGATCGTCTTAGGGGGTTGCACCACTCCCCAAAGGTGCCAATCCTTAAAGGGGAGTGAGGGCCAAAGACTTAAAGCGGAACTTCCCCTTTTGGGTGGAGCTCTGCTTTAACACCTCGACATGAGCATCTTCTGATAAGAAGGGTTGAAGAAAATCGCCATGCAAGTTCACTGCAGTTAGCAAGTAGAAAGCCAAACTGGGGTGATTTTTTCCCGTGACACAATATGGTGTACACTGCAGAGGAATGGCATGCATGGGTGTTGTCCACGAAGGAAGCCTCTCCTAAAAAAATCACAAAAAAGCCCACCTAGAATTTGCCAGGGCCCATGCTGAAAAAGAAGTCTACTGGAACTCTGTACTGTGAAGTGATGAGACTAAGATAAATGTTTTTGGAACTGATGGGTTAAAAACTGTATGGCATCGCAAACTTGAGAAGTACAAAGAAAAATACATGCTGCTCACAGTGAAACATGGTGTTGGCAGTGTCCTTCTGTGGGGCTTCATGAGTGCTGCTGGTTTCGGGGATCTGCAATTCATTGATGGTATCATGAATTCATGGATGTAGTCCTCTATATTGGAAGAGAAGATGCTAGCATTACTCTGTTCCCTTGGTTTTTGTGCACTTTTCCAACATGACAATGATCCAAAACACACATCTAAGGCCACTGTTGCATTTCGGAAGAAGAACAGGGTGAAAGTAATTTAGTGGCCAAGTATGTCTCCTGTTCTGAACCCAATCGAACACCTATAGGGAATTCTGAAGAGACTTGTTGAGCATCACTCTCCATAAAGCATCCAGGCTCTAAAAGAGGTCGTTCTTGAAGAATGGAAAAAGATAGATGTTGCAATATGTTGTCAACTTGTACATTCCATACCTAGACTTGGTGCTGTCCTTACAAATCTTGGAAGTCATACAAAATACTAGATGGAGTAGTTTTTGTTGTGGGGTGTATTCATTTTTGCATCAACTAATTTGAGTAAAACTGAAGATTTTGTAATCTAAGTTATATTATTAACCTTACTTTCATGTAAGGAGCTAAACAAATGTTCTAAGAAACTCAGTTTTGTCAAATTTTGGAAATTGTTCTTGTGTTCATTGAGATAATGATTAAAATTTTACTTTTCAAAAGGGGTGTACTCCTTTATGCTGTGCACTGTATATCTGAGTAAGTCCATTGGCCTGGTATACTTACACCTACATAAGGGATTTTCAGCATCCTGAAGCACAAGATTGTTGCTGAGCAGGCATCCTCTGAACAGCTGCGAGAACCTCGTTCCCACTTAGGTTGCCTGTCAATTGCACCATATCGAATTGCTGATGAAGGTTTTCCTATGTAGGTGTTCCTGCAGTTTCAAACCTTTGATATCTCTCCTGGCTGCATATCGGACTCTTTGAAGGTGTATGATGGGGCTGGCAAGATGTCTCCTCTACTAATGAACACTACCTGTGGGATGAAGGAGCTCCCTCCCGTCTTGTCCTCAGGAAACCTGATGTTCGTGGAATTTTTAAGCGGTGGAACATCAACTTTCACAGCTTCCTATCAGACAGGTAGAGTTTCAGAGTGTTTCATTGAACAAAGGGTGTAACTTTTTTATTACGCTTACTGATGACGTTGAAGGAGACAAATCCATTGGATGCTGTCTGAGCTTCAGCACTTTAAGATACTACTCTGGAATAATCATGCAGCAAGTGAAGTCAAAAGCCCTCGATATGTATACTTGTCCTAGGTCAGTGACAGGAACATGAAGCCAGTGGTTGAGTATGAGGCAGACAGAAGATGCTTTCAGAAGGTCAACAATGGCAACCTACATATTTTCATAGTTTTGTTATCATACACAGTATTTCCCTTAAACCCCAGCCTACTGAAAAGTTCTGCCTTGGCATCTTTTTATAGTTGAAAACATGCTGCAGGCTGAAATGCGTGGGGATGCAATTCAGAATGAATGGCTGCTCTGTGCATCTTGCGAGAACAGAGCGATTTGGCTGTGGGTGGTTGCGAATGTGAGAACAGGGAACATAACCAATATGTTATGTAACACCCTCTAGGTAAACTAGATCAGATTTTTGTTAGTAAGAAGCTGGGTAGCAGCCTGGTATGAGTCAGCCTGGGAGTGAGGTAGTGAATTCACCTCAGGACAAGCTGGGAGGCTCTACAGGCACGGCGTATTTACCACAAAGCAAACAAGGCATTTGCCTAGGGCGGCATTTTTTTTAGGGGGGCAGCACTGGTCTCCGGAAGGAGGGACATGGGGACCAGGTGGGCTGTGGGTTGCTTGATGGTGTATGCAGAGCCCCACTGTTGTTCCTTGGGATGGCCAGAGCTGTGAAGGTGAGTGTCTTTCTTTCTGTTGGGGGGGGAGGGGTTAGCGGAAGGCTCTTTCGGGTGGGGGTAGGGGAGGGATGGGGCAGGGGTGTTGTTGGTCACTGTCAGGCTCTCTCCGTGGGGGGGGGGTGTCTGGTGTTGGTTGGTGGCAGGCTCTCTCTGCTGAGGGGGGTTGTACAATTCTTGTATTGCCTAGGGCAGCACAAAACCTAAATACACCACTGTCTACAGGTCAGGGCTTCTGGAGCCCAATCCCCAGGCAGGAGGTTGGGCATGGTGACCGAGGACAACCCTTAAATGTGGCAGAACCTGGGGAGCAGTGTGCAGAGTCGGGTAGAAGATAGATTGAAAGAAGGCTGGAGTGTGGAGCCTGGGAGGGGTCCCCAGGGAGGGGAGCCTATCTGCAGGCTGGTTGCTGGAAAGGAGGATCTCCACTGCCCAAAGTCTCCTTGGGACGACACCCTGAGCAGCAGGGAAGGAGCTAGCCCAGCAAAAGGCCTGAAAGCAGCTAGCAACCCACCACGCTGACAGGACAGTGTGAGTACTCCTACACCTCCTGGGCCAGTTGAAGGGAGAGGGCTATCAGGTGCAATACTTAACTAGTTCTCATCCAGGACTACTTAACTGCTAGATCTTGGAATCTCTTGCTCAGGGATAACGTCATCTGAGTGAAGAGGAGGATTCAGCTGGGGTCTGAGGAGGTACACCAAGGGGACTTCAGTGCTCCATAACAGAGACAGTTGCTATTTTTGGATTTACTTCCTTCGAGTTTACAGTTCCTTAGGCATCCCATATACCCCTGGACCCCATCCAAGTTGTTAACCCCTTAATACAAACAGCTACAAACCAGCTCAAGGACTATTGATTGACTCTGAATGTGTGTGGAAATGCGTTTTGCCTGGCCATGCATAGCTTAGGGAGACCCAAATCAAATCCAGCGGCCCTCAAGAGGGTAGTGCTACAGTTATACTTGGGAAGGTAGAATACAATTGACAGCTGGAAGAGACAATCATAAGTTAATGACTATATCTCTGTTTCCACCAGGCAACCTCACAATCCAGTTGATTGAAATAAAACCAGATTGGTGACTAAATCATCTCAGTGTTTTTGATGAGTGAAAACCCATTGATAATTTTCTACCTTGGCTGATCGACTTGGTTTGATCGACATCCAATCTAAACCAAGTCTAACCGGATTGGAACAGAAGTTTTAGGCTTTAGCTTTTTGGATTTAGCTTTACTTTCAAGGCTGAACTCCAGGCATCCAACTAATTATGCAGATGAATTATAGACAGTATATGAGAGTTGATTTACCTGCCAAAGGATTTGTATTTCTTTGACACTGCAGAACAGGAGACTTGATTTTCTCTGCTGTACTTGCTGTAAGTCACACAAATGCGCATCTTGTCGCTCCCCCAGCTGGTGACTGTACAGTGAAACAGCAGACTGATGAGCTCATGTCTCTGTCACTCTGCTCTCTCCTCCTACCAGTATGCTTCTTGTTAGCACATGAGTACTACAGCATAACTGATTGGCTCCTTGTGCTGCTTCTCTATCTCCCTGTCTGAGTTCTGTTGTGCAAATTGCAAGAAGCTGATACCAAGTCACTTTTAGGTAATCACACTGCTTGTATCTACAAAAAATGCAACAATGAATACCGAGCTGCATTCAATTGTATCTTTAATATTTGCCTGAAGCTCAGCTGTAAAAAAAAACTTAAATGGATCTCATTAATACACACATCATACCATCTGCACCAGTATATGATGCTGCATATTTATCTGTTGTTGTAGTGGCATGTGGTGGAATGCAAACGAAGGAGAATGGAACTGTCAGCTCTCCGGGTTACCCCACCAAGTACCTACCTTCCACCGACTGTATGTGGTCTATTATGGCACCCTCTGGGCACAGAGTAAGTCAAGTGAAGAAAAATTGCAATCAAAAAAGGAAAAAATGTTTCAAGTAGTTATCTTGGCTACAGTACTTCCTACTACTAAACTCTTTTTTTTTATGTTCAGCTAGTCTTCATATCCATTAGTGTCACAGTATTCTACAATTACTCCCAATAGTTCAACTATTGTCCTAATCGTATACACAGTCTTTGTTAAACTATGACTTTTTTTTTTAAAATCACAAACATGTCATACTTACCTGCTCTGAGCAGTAGTTTTGCACAGAGCAGCCTCAATCCTCCTCTTCTGGGGTCCCCCGCTGGTGCTCCTGGCTCCTCCCCCCTGCAAAGCTCCCCCATAGCAAGCTGCTTGCTATGGGGGCACTCATGTGCTCACTCCTGAGCTGCCTCTGTGTTTCCATAAGACACACAGAGTACCTCTGCTCATTGGCTGTGATTGATAACAGCAGGAGACAATGGCTTTCACTGCTGTCTTTAAGCCAGTGAGGAGAAAGAAAGCCAAGAGAGCTGCTGCTCTTGTGCATATCACTGGATTGTGATCGGGCTCAGGTACGTATAGGGTGGGCTGGAGAGAGAGCAGACCACAGAAAGTTTTTTTTTTTACCTTAAAGCGGAGTTCTGGTGCAAATGTAAAAAAACTGTAGCTGCTGACTTTTAAAAAACAGCCACTTACCTGTCCCTTGATCCCGCAGTGTCCCGCCTGCAGCCCGTTCCATTGGCTGCCCTGTGTTCCTGGCGCCGGCATCTTCAGTGTGGTCACACGGCTGTGGGAACTTCTCCTTGCTCGGGAAGACAATCTCTCCAGAGCTTCAGACTATTTATCAGCTTCCCCATCCACCATCTGGGCACACCTCCCCAAGGACTTGCGGCTTCAGAACCGGGTGCCCACTGCGCATGTGCGAGTAGCGCTGCACTTTGTGAATGGTTCCGTAGTCTTCTGGAACCTATCATGTGTCCCAGAAGACTACGGGGAGGCAGGGGGGAGGACAACTTCCATTTCCGATCACCTAGGTGATTGTAGAGGAAGTGGAAATGGGTACCTGTCAATTTCGGGTACCCGCTCCCCCCCCACTCCCCAAAGGTGCCAATCCTTAACGGGGATCGTGGGACCAGTCCTTAAAGTGGAACCTCCCCTTTTTGGTTGAAGCTCGCTTTAATGCATAGAATACATTAAGGTAAAAAAAAACCTTCTAGTTTTGCAACCACCTTAAGCCAGTCATAGATGGATGGAATCTTAGCTGGTTAAGCAGGAACTGGCTGAGATTTGATCCATCTATGGGCAGGCTGGTCCATAAATTGACCTCAGTACAACCAGCCTGGTAGATTTTTTGCATGTGATTACTACCGGTGGCTACAGTCATAAGCAGTAATCATTTTGTTCTGCCACTGGGGAAGGCTCCCTACCCGTGGAACTCAAATTGCAGAAGGGATTCCCCTATCAACACTAATATAAAGCACACAGTCACTGGGAATCAATTAACGGTCATTTCCCAAAGTCCCCAGGACAGCTGCCACCTTCCAGCTTCCTCCAGACACGGTCCACTGAGTGAGAAAAATTCTTCTCAAGACCAGATCCCTTTGGTGATGTCCTGCAGCCTCAGAGAATGGCAGCACAATCCAAGGATTGCCTCAGAGGGGCAACAGTCCCCTCTAAGGCTGGGAACTTCTCCTTGCTCTCCAGAGCTTCAGACTATTTATCAGCTTCCCCATCCACCATCTGGGCACACCTTCCCAAGGACTAGATAGGACCTTATCAATATTCAGGCTGGTTATTTGAATTTTCCTTCTACCAGAGATGGGGGAAACAATCAATCTCCCAGCCCGTAAAAACCCTGAACAGTCAAGAACAAACAATTACTGCTCCCTTGACTACAGGTGGAGCTAACCATTAAATTTACCTAGCAGCCTAACTGGGGGGGGGTGCCACATACATTTTTTTTCATAAGATGCTACCACATGAATATTTTGCCTTGAAAACACCATTTTTTTTTTTTCACTGGCAGGTACAGCTGAATTTCATCTCCTTTGCACTGGAGTCCTCCCGTAATTGTGTCTATGATTACTTGTCCATCTCGGACAGCTCTCGATCTGGCACTTCGGTATCGCACAAGTATTGTGGGGCCAAGAATATGCCATCATTAGTGTCCTCTAGCAACTGGATGCTGTTGCAGTTTCACTCAGACAAGTCAGTACAGAGTACCGGTTTCCGGGTCACATACAGCTGGGGTAAGTAGAAGGAGGGGACGTGGAGTCATGGTTTTAAAGTGCACTTATTCTTCACAGCTCTACCCCAGGCAGATATTAAAAACACAAATAAATGCAGTGCAGTGCATCTTTGAATTAAATGTAGTGTAAATACTTGAATTTGACTTAGTATAAGTGTAGGGGGGCCTCTTGGGGGGCCAGGGGTGAGGAAGGGCAGGCCTGCACACTTAAGGAACCCTGGTCAATCACCAAGCAGAAGGCTTGGCATGGGGCCAGGGCAGCACTTAAACGTGAGAGAGCCTGCTCAGCAGCAGGAGAGTTTTGATGGAAGATGGAGAGAGAAGGTTGAGGTGCAGGAGCCTGGGAGGGGGCCCAGTTGGGAAAGGGCTCACCTACAGGGAGTGGTGCTGGAAAGGAGGAAAGCTCAGGACCTCATTGGCCCCTAGAACAAGGACCACCTGTGCAGCAGGGAAGGAGAGGCACAGCAGAAGGCCTGAGAGCAGCCACCAACCTATCAGCTCATAGGCAGAGGATTAAGTAAGTAGACCTACACTCCCTGAGCCAGTAAGGGGAAGGCGCACTCTAGTGGGAATTTGGATTAGCTTTTTACCTGGGACTGTCTTACATTTAAAGTGACAGGCACTGGATCCCCTGTCCAGGAATTCTTCAGACACCCGGATAGAGGAGCATTTGGGGTCTGGGGTGGTACATTAAGAGAGGCTGGCTAGCTCCCTAAGAAGAGAATTTTGCTGTTTAAAGAGACTTGTACATAGTTCCAGGAAGATTGTCCTCAGTTGCCATTCCCTTGGGCATACCATGCACCCCATACCCCATCCAAGTTCAAATTCCCCTAATAAATTCCAAAAAAACAAGCTCAAGGACTGGTTATTATCTCCTGGATGCAAGTCTGTGAAAAATGCATGTTGCTTGACTGTGCAGGATTATAGGGGGATCCAAATCTATAGCGACTCCTAAGGGGGTAGTGCTACATAAACCTTTTGCAATTCCCTATACATTGGAGTTCAGAGAAAAAGAAGAATCTTGGTTTGCAGTGCTCATGTGCTAACAAGGTACATGCTGGCAGCAGGTGAGAGCAGAGTGATAGAGAGACGTCACCATGTCTCATCAGTCTGCTGCTTCTCCTTTCACTTTCCAATAACAGGCTACTTGTTTTGTCCCACTTACATGTACTTTTACTGTGTTGTACTGAACTGCATTGTGTTATTATAGTTCAGTAGTATGCGGACATCTAGTGGAGGTTTTGGGACACTACAACTTGTTTACTATCTGATTTCTTCCTCTTTCCTCTTCTCCTCTTTAGTGCTAGTTAGTTCATCCATAGTTACACCGTTCCCATTTTATCTTTGTTCCCTTAAACTGTGTCAAAGACAGGGCTTAGGATAGTCATTGTCTTCTTACACTTCAAAAGACTGGAAAACATCCTCTTTACTGCAATTAGCTGACATAAAATTGCTTTGGTTTCAACTTCTGTGTCTTTCTGAAGTGTCAAGCTGTCTATGCATTGTGCCAAGTCAGCAGGTGACCATGCTGTCCCCACAAGACTGGATCTAAGGAGGTATATCAATGTATAAAGCAGCATTTGAAAGAAAACACTGCAGGACAAACAACACCTTTGTCATTTAAGTGTTACTTACTGCAACAGAACAAAATAAGGTCTCCTGCCCTGCCAGACAGGGATGTGCTGTGTGGAAGAGTTGTAAAATGCCAGGACTGGATGGAGAGAAACAGAAATTATTTGACAAATAAAACAGCATCTTTAGATATATTATATATGTATATTTAGCTATTTGCCTGGAGATCATTTTTAATTCCTATGCTCATGATTGGTTTAAACTCAACACAATATCAAAGAGTTAAATAAAAAATGATTGCTTTGGTAAATTAGTCTCACTGCCTTTGATAGTTCTCTCTAAAATTTTGTGACAGTTTTATTCCAGTTGAGCAGTAATGTGGCCCTGGAAATTGTTTCATAGTACTTGCAAATATGCCCTAACAATCTTTGATGTGATAAAATGGTTATATTTAATTTCTTTCTGCAGAGTGAGACATCATTGGATGGAGAATTATGATCTTGGAACAGACTACCTTGTTTTAATGCAACCGAGAATTTAAAGGCAACAAGTGCTACCGAAGCATCCAATAACCCAACTTCTAGTAATGTAATCTCACATAAACCAGGACCTTCATGCTGAAAGAATTCAAAGTCAACCAGTCTCTCAAAGCACCCAATAAGCCAACCTTAAGAATGCTATCTGACATAATCTCTGGCATTTACACTGAAAGAATTCAAAGTCAACCAGCCTGTCAAAGCGCCCAATAACCCAACCTGGGGAATGTTACCTGACATAATCAGGGGTCTTCACGCTGAAAGAATTTAAAGTCAACCAGTCTGTTGAAGCACCCAATAACCCAACTTCTATACATGTAATCTCACATAAACCAGGGCCTTCGCAATGAAAGAATTTAAAGTCAACTAGTCTATTGAAGCACCCAATAACCCAACCTCGAGAATGTTATCTGACATAATCTGGGGCCTTCACATTGAAAGGATTCAAAGTCAACCAGTCTGTCGAAGCACCCAATTACACAACCTTGAGAATGTTATCTGACATAAAAAAGTTAATGTCAACAAGACTGTTGAAGTATCTGATAACCTAACCTCGACTATTTTTATCTCACATGATCTTGAAGCCTTCATACTAAAAGAATTTAAATTCAACCAGTTTGTTGAAGCATCTAATAAACTAACCTCTAGTATTGTTACACTGCATCCAGAAATATTGACAGCGCTTAACTTTTGTCACATTTTGTTATGTTACAGCCTTATTCCAAAATGGATTAAATTTATTTTTTTCCTCAACATTCTACAAACAATACCCCATAATGACAATGTGAAAGAAGTTCGTTTTGGAAATCTTTACAATTTATTAAAAATAAAAAAACACATGTACATAAGTATTCACAGCCTTTGTTCAATATTTTGTTGAAGCACATTTAGCACCAATTACTGCCTCATGTCGTTTTGAGTATGATGCTATAAGTTTACCACACCTATTTTTGGGCAATTTCTCCCATTCTTCTTTGCAGTACCTCTCAAGCTCCATCAAGTTGGATGGGGAGCGTCGGTGCACAGCTTTTTTCAGATCTCTCCAGAGATGTTCAGTCGGGTTCAAGTCTGGGCTCTGGCTGGGCCACTCCAGGACATTCACAGAGTTAGCCTGAAGCCACTCCTTTGTTATATGGGCTGTGTGCTTAGGGTTGTTGTCCTGTTGAAAGATTAACTGTTGCCCCAGTCGAAGGTCCAGAGCGCTCTGGAACAGGTTTTCATCAAGGATGTCTCTGTACATTGCTGCATTAATCTTTCCTTTGATCCTGACTAGTCTCCGAGTTCCTGCCACTGAAAAACATCCCAGAGCATGATGCTGCCACCACCATGCTTCACTGTAGGGATGGTATTGGACAGGTGGTGAGCGGTGCCCGGTTTCCTCCAGACATGACACTTGGCATTCAGGCCAAAGAGTTCAATCTTTGTTTCATCAGACCAGAGAGTTTTGTTTCTCATGGTCTGAGAGTCGCTCAGGTGCCTTTTGGCAAACTCCAGGCGGGCTGCCATTTGCCTTTTACTGAGGAGTGGCTTCCGTCTGTCCATTCTACCATACAGGCCTGATTGGTGGAGTGTTGCAGAGATGGTTGTTCTTCTGGAAGGTTCTCCTCTCTCCACAGAGAAATGCTGGAACTCTTTCAAAGTGACCATCGGGTGCTTGGTTACTTCCCTGGCTAAGGCCCTTCTCCTTCGATTGCTCATTTTGGCCGGGCAGCCCGTTCTAGGAGGATTCCTGGTGGTTCCAAACTTCTTCCATTTATGGATGATGAAGGCCACTGTGCTCATTGGGACCTTCAATGCTGCAGAAATTTTTCTGTACCCTTCCCCAGATCTGTGCCTTGATACAATCCTGTCTCGGAGGTCTACGGATAATTCCTTGGACTTCATGGCTTGGTTTTTGCTCTGACATGCACTGTTAACTATGGGACCTTATATAGTCAGGTTTATGCCTTTCCTAATCATGTCCAATCAACTGAATTTCCCACAGGTGGACTCCAGTCACGTTGTGGAAACATTTCAAGAATGATCAGTGGGAACAGGCTGCACCAGAGTTCAATTGTGAGTGTCATGGCGAAGGCTGTAAATACTTATGTAAATGTGTTTGTTTGTTTTTTTCATTTCTTATTTTTAATAAATTGCAAAGACTTCAAAACAAACTTCTTTCACATTGTCATTATGGGGTATTGTTTGTAGAATGTTGAGGAAAAAAATGAATTTAATCCATTTTGGAATAAGGCTGTAACATAACAAAATGTGGCAAAAGCTAAGTGCTGTGAATACTTTCTCGATGCAGTATATGTGAAAAATTTTCAGGGCCTTCAAACTGAAAGAATTTAAAGTCAACCTGTCTGTTGAAGTTCCTGGTAACCCAGCCTCTTGTATTGTTATCTTACATGATCTGTGGCCTTCACACTGAAAGAATTCAAAGTCAACCAATGTGTTGAAGCACCCAAAATCCCATCCTTTAGTAATGTAATCTTACATGAACCAGGGCTTTCACATCACCCAGTAACCCAGTGTTTCTCAACTCCAGTCCTCATGGACCCCAACACGTCATGTTTTCAGGATTTCCCTCAGATGAAACAGCTGTGGTAATTACTAAGGCAGTGAAACTGATCAAATCACCTGTGCAAAATAATGGAAATCCTGAAAACATGACCTGTTGGGGGTCCATGAGGACTGGAGTTGAGAAACACTGCAGTAACCCAACCTCAAGAATGTTATTAAGAATGTTATCTGACATAATCCGGTGGACTTCACATTGGAAGAATTTTAAGTCAACAAGACCTTTGAAGCACCAGATAACCCAACCTCTAGTAATGTTATGTTGCATGATGATGGGGCCTTCAAACAAATCTTTCTATGTATGCTTTTAAGTTTACACATGATACTCTGACCTGCATA